TATCTTTACTTGAACTTCTGGCACCTCAAAAGTAAACAAACATCAGGGAAAAATCACTATATCAAATTTGCATTCCTACGTGTCCATCAAACCAAATCTTTGCCTACAAAATTATATTGACAATACACCTTTGTATATTGATCCATATTTGCTAAACCATATTTCATTAAATTAATAACCAATGCATACATACTGGTGTTCTATCTGGAAGTTGAGATGTCCAGTAAACCAATCATTAAAAAATGACTGCTCCACATCGCATGTTGCATGCATCTATGAAAGAAATTAACAGTGCAAATATCACTTGGCAAATACACATTGTCATCTACAAAAATAATTATGTTTCTGGATATTATCTAAATAAATAATGTTATATTTTACCTGCTAATTGGAAAGTGACATACGTGTTTATCCCATGAACACAAAGGGATAAGGCAGCTTGGGAAATTTTGCCTTCTGATTACTTAAAAAGACAATGTTAAGCAGTGGTTGTCACATGCTTAATTTTCTTTGAGTGCTTTACACAGAGGAAAAGCCTTTTTTCAGAGAAAATGTTTGGAACTTTTATCCATCCTCATCATTTCATGTTCTACTCCCCCAGCAGCCACTTTTTATAATCCGCAAAATGGCTGTTTGGATCAGCATATTTTTCATGGTTCATATTAATTTGAAAGTTTTCCTGAGACAGTTGTTTTATGGTAATTAGGTTATTAGGAAATTAGGAATACAAATGTGTCTAGCATACCTGGAGTGGCATCCATGGCTCCTCCTTGTCCTCATCAATCTCCATAGGAATGTGGTTACTCTGAGTAACCCAAGTGAACCAATGACTTTCTACACATCTGAATATAAAGGGCACCATAGCTTATATGAAATCAATTATCTTTTCAATTCATATTACAATTATTTAAGTTTCATTGTAATAATGAATATTTAGTAATTTCAAACTAGATGTTTGTAGAAAAGATACAAAAGAAACAGCAACAAGAAATAAGACAACAAAATGTTTGTCACTCCAAGTTCAATGGAAACCTTTAAGGCATAGTTTATTCTTATTGAAACTATATCAGTTACTGTATTTACAACTCAATTTCAAACTAAAAGATAAATTTGACAAACCTTCCATGAGAAATTACTATGAACAAAATGAAAGAATGTTTTACAAATTGGCCAATTAAAAAAATATGTGGTTATAATTTGGGACCAGGGATTACAGTTATAGCTACATGCCTGTCTAAACCATTGCTATATAACTTGCAAATTTTTGTCCACTGATGATTCTTTTATTACAGAATATATACAAATTTTTTTTTTATTTCATTCAAATTAGCTCTCCAAACATTGCCTTACCTTATTGTAAAATAAAACAGAATGGTTCCTCCGACGCCTAACAGTGGGGTATACAGGTAAAATAGCTTTGCAAAGAACAATGATACAGTGAAGAGGTCCTAGAACATCAAAATGATCTAAATCAGCTGGCTAACTCACATCATTTTTAAGTCTACAATTCACACTTTGTTATTAGTCTGCAATTTGATACGATACATTTGTACAGAGGTGGACAATTAAATAAAGCACATATCCATGTAAAATGTATCTCTTTAGTAAAGCATTTCACCTGAATAAATTACTACTACATACCAGCCACTTTTTTCTGGTGAAGATGTGTCTGAACAGCATTATCTGAAAGTACACTGGGAAGAGCAGGGGTGGTCCAACTGGAATGAAGTTCAAAAGCAGCTATTTAGTGATAGTCTCTTAAAAATGACACATACACATTCCTTCAAAAACTCTACTTGCAACTAGCAATAATATTTAACAAAACAATCCCAATTACCCTCAGAAATAAAAAAAAAATTATCTTCAATTTCAGGTGGTATTGTATTTCTAGTAAAAATGGTGAAATCAAATGGAGAAAATAGATATACTTACTGACAAAAAAATACTTGTGTTGCAGATTGTACGGCATGGAATTTTTCTTTTTCTTTGCAATCTAAAAGAATACATACAAATGCTACATTTCACTCAGTCTATATTAAATAAATGCAGGAAATGAAAAAAAATATAATCTTATTACAAAACTTCTGAAAACTAGAACAATGTTTTCTTTTGTGCATTGCAAACTTTTATGATTTGTCTTCGATAAGACATATTTAAAGTGTTGGTTTCTATTTGTTGCCCTTACCTTAACAGGCATAGTCTCACCAACCACAAATAACTCCTCCAGCCTGACATCAGGGTCCTTACCCATCTAAAATAACAATAACAATAATGTCCAGAAACAAGTGATATAGATAAATAGATACAAAAACTGCTATAACAATATTGTGACCAGAGATAATTACAGTTATACTTAAGAAATGTCATCAGAAAGATGGAATTAACAGTTTTGCAAATTTAAGATAAAATTATGGCATTCAGAGATTTTAAAAAAGAGGAAAAAAACTTAGTAATTAAAATACTCACCACATTTGGTTTTGCATGATGTTGATAGTGCATGTGGTTCCACCAATGTGCAGATGCACCCTGGAAAATGGAAAAAAATTATTTCTAAAATTTTATAATCTTACTTTGGATAAAATCTAAAAAAGAAAATCTGTCTCTTCTTTGTCATATTGTGCTATTGTAGTGTTTTTCACCAATTGTTCACTGAATGTCATATGCAGCTTAATACCACATGAACTATTCAACTTGCTCCAATTTTTAAAAAAAATATTTCCTTGGGTAACTGTTTTTATAAACAGCCCTCACTGGTTTGTTGTATCATTTGAACTTTAAAATATAGTCTTTATTTCATTGTCTAATACTAATGTTTACATAAAGCAGCTAGTCATGTTCTAAGCTTAATTTGGATGAATAATAACCAAAGGAAAGGAAAATTTAAGTCTATATTTTCAAACTTCAATTGACAAAACATTTCACATGAAAATATTTAATAAAAATCATCATAATTTAAACTGCTGTCCTTTGACTTCAGATCAGACTTTACCTAAATGATAAATGTAGACATTTATTAGATAGCACTGACATAAGGTCAAACACCATGCACTATGGCCTATACTGTGACCGCTTTTGCTGTTATCTCTGAGTAACAGGTCTACTTTTGTAAACACTTAACAGTCATGGTGCCTGGCACAGATAAAAAAAAAATAAGCCAAGCCCAACTTAAGTGAGGAGTACTAATTACATTATCTGCAATACTTTCCCCTGTATTCTAAAGTTCCATAAAAAGGATTTATAATTCTGTTAAAATAAATGTTGGGCCTCCTTAAATATCTACAAAGTACTATTTTGTAATTTATTACACAAATGAATGTATTCATTTTTTCTTTTGGAGAGATCTGTCAAAGTCAATGTTTTGTTTAAAATAAAATGCAGAAAAAATTGCATTTTCTATGAAATTATCAAAATAGGCAAAAGATAGTAGACATCAATACCTATTAATTTCAGCATGCATATTCAATCAGACTTCAGAATACAAATGAGTAAATAAATGTCATATGTATAACTAGAAAAGCACTCAGAGAGCGCAGACCTCTGCCAAAGCAGCAAAGTCTCCATCCAATGCCGTTTCACCCCTAAATTTTCAATATTTTTGATTATTGATTGACTATTGATCCAGATCACCACCAAAAACTAATCATCTCTTCCTCGGCACACTTCTGACAGTTCCTGAATATTTCATCAAAATTGGTCCATAACTTTTTGAGTTATGTTGATGACAGACAGACAAACAAACAGGGGTGAAAACATAACCTCCCTGGCAGAGGTGAAAAAAAGCTTCATAATACATTTTCATTTACATTGCCCTCTGGAAATGGGCTTACTGACCTTAATAAACCCCATGGTAAACTGGTGCAGAACATGGTCAATTTTACTGTTCTTAAACACTGACAGGTGCCCAAAGTCATGCTGCAGCCAGCCTACCTGAGCCTAGAGAAAGTGAAAGTGACATGTCATGGTACTGAATTTACAAAATACTGTTAAAATGAAAGAGAATAGTACATCAAAAGTTATACGGTAACATGGACAACATTTCACAGCTATGTACACAAAAAATATGATGTTAATGAGTTTTAAATAAGATTCAATTAGGTGCAAGTTTAGTTCTCCCCTCCATCTCCTAGGACCAAGGCCTTTTTATGAAATTTTATTTCAGTTCTAAGCAGCTTAATTTAAATATGTGTCTTATATTACTGAAGTGATACAACTTTACCTGAACAGTGGAATACAGAACAACAGACACAATCCAAGGTATCCATCCAGTTCCAAAATACCACATATTTAAGTATGAAAGTGCCTCCAGTATCAATATATGTAGCAAAACCACAGCAAAGAAAAAATAACTAGGTTGGAAGAGGCCCTAGAAAGAGAAAAAAACATTCACAGGAGGTGACAAAAGATGCTGCATGCTGATGAACCTTCATCACAAAGACATAAGACCTTTAAATTCATTTAACTTCAAGTTAAACTGTTAACACTAAACTCAACCATGGTGGCAATGGGGTAGAATCTGCCAAACCTGGAACTTCGACAGATTTATCAAACTTATGATGCTGGTCCCAGAACAGTATCCGCATACCCCAAATGGAGAAGTGGTTGTCATGTTACTTGTAACATTTATGGGTATGTCAATATATCAATATGGTGATCATCTTTCTTAGTCTTAAATGGGTTAGAAAAGCCTAAATCAGGTAAAAAGAAACAATTTTAAAACAAAATAAATCAATATTACCATTTTTTCTGCTTTCTTTCTTAATTCTTCAAAATCTTCCACGATATCTTTGGTTTGTTTCTCTGAGAGTGCTAGTGTTCCCACATGGAGAGCCTTGAGGAATTTTTTTGGGTGAGAAAGATCATTATGGAATGCTATAAAAGGTTCCTAGAAAAACAAAAGAAAAATGGGTACTAGTAATCCAAAAACCTTTAATAATAAAAAGAAAGCAAGCAAATCTTTCTCTTAAAGCATATGACATACAGTTTAAAACTGAAAAATGGTCAATATAAACTAAAAATTATTGAAGACTACAGGGAATAT